GGGTCTGGGTTCTGGTACTTTCTAGCTGTGTGATTTGGGAGACGTCACCTTATGACTCAGTGTCTCAGCTTCCCGTCTGTAACACGGGGATATCTACCTTTGTCTTAGGGAAGCCCAGCTGCTCAGCCCAGTACTCACAGTTGTCCTCACTTCAACTCCAGGCTGCTGCTAGATGGATCTCCCACCTGGACGTCCCCTCCCTTCATCCTTCCCTTAAGCCTCTAGGCCTTTCCAAGGCACATAGTATCCTAGGCTTGCTATTCAATTAGTCAGTGATCAAAAGCATTAACACATGTGAAACACTTAGAATTGTTCCTGTCCTATAAAAAGGAATCAGTGAATGTTAGAAAAATATACTAATACCACCAACAACAAACAAATCAAAAGCGCATCTTCTCTACTGTCCACAGTTACTGATACACATATCTTATCCATCCTATTTGAGTTATTTGAGGCAGGGCACACTGTGACCTCTCTGAGCAGCTCGCTCAAGTCTACAACATAGTGAACATCCAGTATATTCTGAAGGAATGAACGTGAATTTCTCTCCATCATTTTTACTTCCATCTCATCCACTCCCACATATGTGACCCATGTGACTGACAGATTTTCTTCCAGAATGAAAACTCTACAGCATCCTTCCCCATCTCCTGGGTTTGCAGACACAGAACAAACAGCTTTTGGCCAATTTCAATGCAGGCTTCATGGAAATGAGTCCTAAATCCTGCCTGCCTGAGGCTCCTCGGTGGAACCCTGCCATTGCTGCGGCTGCTGAAAGGGAACCTCCTTTGTGTTCTCCTGTCAGTCTGACCAGGTCCACATTCCAGACCTCCTCCCTGGGGGAAGGAAATCAATTTAGTTGTCCCTTTATTCTAAAAGGTAGGGACAGATGGATGACCAAAATCTCAACCCAATCTGCCGTTGGGCAAAAGAAAAGGAGATCTATTTAGGGCTCCACATTCTAAGAAAAACTCATAAAGCTCTCAAATACAAAGGAATTATAAAAAGCAAGAAAACAAAATCTAGTCTTAATCATACCTGAATGTTTAACGAGTGGTAACGATCAAACAAACAAACATTCCAGGGGCGTCATCACAACTCAAAAAGCATTTCTCAGGATCAAAAGCATTTAATCACTCTTGCTGCGCTGTTGTTCCATTCCCCACCTTGAGAACAGGTGTCTGTCCCCATTCATGCTGCAGCCCCCTGGACCCTTTGAAGGTTACTTTATCAGTCTTCAGTCTAACACAGGACTGAGCCACACCAGGCACAAGGGCAACGCTTGCTGAACCAACATCAGTTAATCTATCAGGAATTCACAAACTGGTGGCGAGGACAGAGAGGCTGAGAAACCCTTGGAGGAGGACTAAGGACAGCCCAGAGACTGCAGAGAAGCATTGCTTCAGCAGCTTTGCCAGTTAAACCAAAGTGAGTCTGCTGAGTAAGGCCCCTATGTCTGAGCTGTTCTTGGAGACACTTCATGATTCACACCCAAATCACACAAGATTAAGAAAATACTGGATAAAATCAAGCCAAACATTAAATTCAGGGGAAAGATTTTATAGGACAAATTAGAAAAATATTGGTATCGTGCTTCAGAGAAACCCACCTCTTTCCTCTGGCTGGAGGGCCCGAAACAAACTCCATGGCAGATGGAGAGGGAATAGGAGTTATTTTAAGTCAGCTCGTTGTGTCCTTCCCATGCTGGCTACAATCCCACACTCACACCCACTGTGCTAATCTGGTGGCCTTGGCCAGAACTAAGGGGATCGTCCATTTGTAATAAGGATTCGATTAGATGGCTGGGCTTGGGAGGAGACAAATGGAGTTTGAATGCAGGTTCCCTGCCTGAGCTAGTTAGAGAGGCTGCTAGCAGCTGGCTGTTCCTAGCCATGCCTGAGAGCTCTGGCCAGGGTGGATTTACGCCCCATGAAGACACTGGATTTCCAGGGTAAGTTCACAAGTCATTTACACCCTCCAGAAGAACCTAAAGTAAGTAAAAATGAAACTGGTTTTAGAGGATCCCTTCACTTATTCATCTACTGAGTCCCTACTCGAGGGGGCTGGTGGTTAAGGAAGGAGAAGGGGGAAAGCAGGGATAAGTGAACAAAACAGAGATGAACGAAGAACTTGTGCACGCCAGAGCCACAGATACTCATGCCGGCTGACTCTTAGCTATCATTCTTTAGCTACTGTGGCTGCTAGTATTATTCTTATTGTTACCTTTAAAATAAACAAACAACCTTGGTTTCTTCACACAGTAGAACTCACATAGAACTTCTAGTACAAGTTGTCTGCTTGTCTTCTAGACCACAGTTGGCCAAGCTTGCCATAGAACCAAAAAGAAAACTGAGAGTGTATGTACACGATCCCTTCCCAATGTCTATCACAAAAACCTGAATAACCTGAATAATCAAAAAGTATTCTTTAGGTTACCTCTTTAAGCATCCATTACCACCATGTTCTTCCAACCTTTACAGAAGCTGAGGACAGAACAATAGAAAATAAACACAAACAAGATGTCCAAATAACCACTACTGCCTCTGAGATATCCTGGGGCCTGCTTTTCTGCACCAGGTCCTTTGCTTGCATTATCTCATTTACTCTGACAACAAGCTATGATCTATGCACTATGGTTATGGCATGATTACAAAAGAAAAGTGCAGCTCAGAGAGCCTGTGTGACTTGCCCAAAGTCACATAGTGTGGATGTAGCGGGACTAGGGGTTGAGTTTCACAGTGTGATGCCGGAATTGAGTCCCTCCCACTTTGCTGCGTCTTCTGCTCAGAAGGAAAATGCAGAACTCAAGTCAGAGTCAACATACACTTATTGACCACATTCAGATGGGTTAATTCATGTAATGCTTAATGGCTGGTATCACCCTAAACTTCTTCTAAGTATCTGATAGCCTCAGGGTGAGAGACAGATGAATGGGACAGATGACCAACTGGTCTGATCATTCCTTATGTTTTTGTCACAGATCAACTGCAACATGGTTCATATGGTTTGGGTTCTCATAAATAGAATATGGGGCATTTGTTTGGGCCACCCCATGTATGGCGTGGCCGAAATCCTAGCAACCACCACCACTTTTCACCCTAGCAACCACTACCACTTTTGATGTGTCAACAGAAGAACAGCAATGGCATGTGTTTACAAGTATCTATACTCTTAGGAGGTGAACAGCATTGACGGGGTTGGTCTGCTTTTCCAAGAGCCTTTCAGCTGCCCTTTCAGTGGCCACAGCTCTGGAGAGTGCATCAGATGGACTATTTACAAACACACCATTTGCTGCAGGGCCAGGAGATATAAAAGACTGCTAGGCAAATGTTTGTTGGCAAAGCACTGTGGGGACCAGTTCACACTGTGAGTTGACTGTGTGGCGGGCAGGTAATCATGTCCATTGCCACAGAGAGAAGGATGCTACCTTGGTGACTTCTGACATCTGATTCCATTTCATTTTTCCTTTAAATGATAGGAAATGATAAACAGGAAATTAATCCATTTACTGGTAGAAGATTTGAGTTTGATTGTTTCATTGATTCTGTTCCTTTCCAGTTTGGAATAAATACACATTAGGAGCCCAAACTCAGTCACACAAACTTGTAACTTTTCCTACTTCCAACAAATGATGCCAACTGGGCAACCTGGAGATGGGTAATGTGCAAAGAGTTTTAAACTTCAATATGTCTTTGGACTTAAATGTCTTTAAAAAGACAGCCACTTTTTCAATCAGACTTTTCAATAATTCTGAGTTACATTTGGAATTAGCCAACTAGTTAATTCAGTCCTCTTTTGATAAAAAGATTGTTGAAATTGAATATTACCATAAGGCCCATCTTAAAGCATGCATATGGCATCCACATGATGTGGTCATGACTCCATTAATACCAGGGCGATTAGAGTAAAGTTGGATGATGATGGAGCTCTCACATGAACTGTTTCTAAACAATGATGCAAGTGAGAAGTGAACTCGTCCCCACAATGCTTTGCCAACAAACATTTGCATAGCAGGCAATGCCGCTACTTTCTCATTCTGATGAATGGGAAAAGACGGGTGGGGTGGATGGGTATGTATGCATTTGTGTGTGTGCATACAGGTGCGTGTGTGTTTGCTGATTGCTAAAGAAAACGATCTACACTTTCTTAACTTTAAAAAACAGTGTTCACTGCATTACTCTTAATTCTGTATCTTTTTAAAAAATTTGATAAGCACACACAAACCCAAAGGGATGTCCTTTTTTCAACACACTGCAATTAGTTCAGGGGTGGCAAACATGTGGCACACTCATGGCCAATGCTCCAAGGGCAGCCTTGCCCAGGGATGTGGGTTGATGCTACCATGGGCTGTTTTGGATTTGGCCTAACCCTACTCACTTCAGAGACAGTACAAATGAAACTGAGAGAAAGAAAGTGGTTTACACATCAGTTTACCAAGCAATGCTACTGGATATGACATAGGCAGGAAATAGAGAACCATCTCAGCTGCTTTGATTTAACAAAAAAGCTGTTGAATAGCTTCTATCCATGAAGCACTGGGCTTAAGCAATGTAATTTGGGGGCAAATCCCATCGTAATAAATTTCCAGGGATCTTGGGTCTAATTTATTGTGTCAAATTAGACTTGCAGTAAGTGGGTCTAGAGCTGGAGTATGAGTGTCCATGTATTACATAAAGGGACTCATTATGATAGGTTTCATGCTGTCTAGAGTTAAACATTTTTTCCATATGTTGGCAGATGTGAGATAGCTAAATAAATAAATGCATATAGACATATATGGCTTTATATACAAAAGCATCATGGTAAATATATTTATCCAACGTTATTTATATATTATGTGTCAAATACCAGTTTATAAACTCTATAACGATCTTTACAATGCTATGAATTGAACAGTTTTTGAAAAGTGAAAACTGCAGCAAAGTGTCATCCTTGTTGAATTGAAGGAAATCTTTCAAAATCATAAAAGCAGAAATGCAGAAGTACATAATTTCTCTTACCAGCAGCCTGAGTTCTGGATGCGTCAGGATATATCCATTATTTGTGATTGCAAAGGCATAACCGTGAATCCCTAACTGTAAGAGGAAGCAAGAAAGAAACCTTCATTAGCTTGCTCCCTGGTGAATTCACAAAGCATAAAGCAGCCCGACATTTAGTAATTTACAGCTTAAACTTGGCATTCATAACCCTTATCAGCACAATATTTCATTAAAATGAATGCAAGGCACTGATCCTTGACATTTGGTGGAAATGAAGACCTGTCACAGGATAAGCTCAACAAATAGCACAATTTAAAATGTCACATCCCCACATTGGCATCCAAGGGCTTTATTTTGATTTATTTAAAACAAAAACAATTACTTTTTTTTTTTTTTAACAAGAAAGTGGCTAATGTTTCTGGAAAGACCCTATGTCCAAGTGCACAGAACCTTATCAATGGAGGTGTCTTCTCTCTGCCTGTAATAAAGAAGGCGGGGTCCCCACGCTGCCTCACTTCTAGACTTTCTATAATTCCATGCCCAAAGGGGCCATCTCAAATTGGTGCTCCCCTAGGCTGTCATTTTCCATCATGATTCAAATACAAAGTGTCCCCACGCCCCAGCCTACACAGGAGCCTGGAAACCCTTTTCATATCCTTTCGTCTTCAAATTGTGTGGTTGCCTAGCTTTTCCATGCATGCTTCCATCAACACAAAGCCTGGGTAATTTTCTATGCAGAGCCTCACTTAATTTATGTTTTCTGACTAAATGGGACTATGGGAAATAGTTTGTGAGCAATGAAATGTTTTATTAGCTTTAAAAAGTATGTAATCAAATTTAACACTGCACTTATTTAAATAATAATCCCGGCTTTTTGACAATATTTCTATTACACAGTTGACTGCACCCATTGGCTACAATAAATTTACCTACAAATCATTCATGTATTAAAACGGCCTCTGGCATAAAACCCATACTGATCTGTCTCTCTGAAGAAAGAAAATGTAACCCAGTTTTGCCAGAGCAGTGAAAGGGGAGAAGAAAAAAGAAATTCTCTACTTTTTTTTTCTAAGGAGTTATTTCACAGTTCTGAGCCCCACTGTTAATTTTCTTTAAATTCTCTGCCACTCACATTCTTGAATATGATACTATTAAATGATCCAGACAACAGAGTTTACAAACCAGGAATGACCCTGTCTGCTTGTTAGCTTAACGTCAAGGTGATGTGAAATTAACTTCAGAGAATTTAACACTGGCAATTAAAAGTTTCCGTTGCATTACATAAAGCAAATATGCACGTGGTAGTCAAGGGCAACAGACATCTTCTCCTGGAGTTACCTTGCACAGCAAGTCTTAATAAGATTCTACTTGACTCTAATGATAAAAGTATATTTCATTATGCTGTGAAAGATAAACCAGAGATTTCCTATCCTTTGAGATGTATATCATCTCTTTCATCTTGTCTCTTGGAAAAATGTCAGACAGTCAACACTGCATTAATTACCATTATTATGTTTCAGTTTAAGATGGACTGGAGGGGTTAAAAAAAAAAAACAACTCTGAGAGTTTGGCTTTTTCCATTCAAGACAAAAATGGTATTTGATTGGGAATTCAAACTCAAACAAAACAAGTAATATTTTATAGTCAGCTCATGTATTCAGCACCTTCTAATATACATTACTTTGATTCTTGTTTTGCTTGTGAGAAGCAATACTCAAAAGAAGGCAGGATTCTTCTTAATGCCTGTACTCTTCTTTTATAGTACTCATCAAAATTATAATAATCTATTATTTGTGGGGTTGAGTATAAGTAATCAAGACTTGATTATTCCATGCCTGCCTCCCCTACCAGAATGTAAGTTCCATGAGGGCAAAGGTCCTATCATGTGGTTAAAAATAGATGGAGGGGTGGTTGGGACGGAGAGAAGATGAGTAGGGAGAGAAGAAAGAGAAAAAGGTGGAAGTAGGGAAACAATAAAAGAAACTGCATTTAGTGCAGATTTTACATAGCTTAGCTAAATTCTGTGCTTCCTCCCCCAGAATGCAGAAGCTGAGCTCATCTTCCCATGCCAATGTCCCGCATTCATTAACCAACTGCCATCTCTGTTTCCTCATTGCCCCTTCATGCCTCAACCCACTGCACTCTGCTTTTTCCCTCCCTCCACCACCAAATATGCCATGGATATCCCTTTCTCTATGATTGCCAGGGGCCTCTTCATTGCCAAACCCTACAGGATTTTCTCCCTCAAATCTTCCTACTTTTCTTAGCCCATTGCTTCCTCTTCCTCGACACTATTCCCTCAGTTTCCAGGTCCCACACTCCTGGGCCTCCTCCTCTTCACAGGATCTTTGTCCTTCATCCATTCCTCAAGTACTCATTTTCCCTAAGATTCTGTCCCCAGGACCCACTGTCTGCCTTAGCTCTCCTCTCTCTCAATAAGCTGCAGTGACCACATCTGTGCTGTTGTTCCCCAGATCCACGCTCTGGCCTCGGTCTCTCCCTTCAGTGGCAAACCAAGTATCCAACAGAGTAGTGGTCATCTCTTTTTGGCCATCCCTCTGACACCTCAGACTCATCCAGTCACAGCGGAGTTCTGTAAAGCTGCTCTTCCTCCTCTCTCTCTCAGTAGGCGGCACCACCATCCACACAGACTCCCCAGTTAGAAACTACAGCATCAGTAGTATGAAATCCTACTAATGGTTTTCTCCAGGTTTGCTCCAATTCCATCCTGCTACCCAACTGTCCCACTATTATATTAATTCAATAAATTTCCACAATGGTCCTCACTGCTCTTCCTGCCTCAGAGTTTGACCCCAACAAAACCATCCTCCAGGTTGATCCAAGTCAAAGGTAACTCTGACCATGTTGCTTTCCTTTGTAACAGCCACTAACAACCTCTTCCATGTGTAAGACAGATCCACAGGCTTGTCCATCAGGTCTCCCTGGGATCTGGCCCTTGCCTGAGTACCCAACCCTGCCTCCCTTCACTCACTGTCACTCAAAGCATACGGCAACAACAATCCCCCTGCAATTTTCTCTCCTAGCCAGACCTTTACTCGCACAGTGTCAGCTACCCAAGGAACCCTTCCTTCTCTCTCCCTGTGGCTAATCCTCACCCATGCTATAAGCTCATCCTCAGCTCATCTCTTGTAAAAAGGCTCTCCTGACCTGCACTTTGCTTTGTCCTTTCCATACTATCATCACTATATTTACCCTAGCACCTAAAAATGCTATACTTGGCCAAGCACAGTGGCTCATGCCTGTAATCCCAGCAGTTTGAGAGGGCAAGGCAGGTGGATCACCTGAGGTCAGGAGTTCGAGACCAGCCTGACCAACATGGTGAAACTTCGTCTCTACTAAAAATAGAAAAATTAGCCAGGCATGGTGGTGGGCACCTGTAATCCCAGCTACTTGGGAGGCTGAGGCAGGAGAATTGCTTGAACCCAGGAGGCGGAGGTTGCAGTGAGCTGAGATTGCACCATTGAACTCCAGCCTGGGGAACAGAATGAGGCTCAAAGAAAAAAAAAAGGTACTCTCACTTTTCTGCCTCTCAACCCTACGTAGTTCTTTCCGTACTCTGATTTGTCCTAGAAAGAACTGGAGGTGGTCAGGCGTGGTGGCTCACGCCTATAATCTCAGCACTTTGGGAGGCTGAGGCAGGTGGATCACTCGAGGTTAGGGGTTCGAGAACAGCCTGGCCAACATGGTGAAACCCCGTCTCTACTAAAAATACAAAATATAAAAATTAGCCAGGCATGATGGTGGGTGCCTGTAATCCCAGATACTCTGGAGGCTGAGGCAGGAGAATCGCTTGAACCTGGAAGGCAGAGGTTGCAGTGAACCCAGATCGCGCCACAGGTACTCCAGCCTGGGTAATAGAGCCAGACCCTGTCTCAAAAAAAAAAAAAAAAAAAAGAAAGAAAGAAACAAAAGAAAAGAAAACAGAAATAACTGGAGGTAGTACTTCCTCCATCAGAATGAGCTCTTTGTGGGAAAGGGGCCACCTCACTTACCTTTGACTTCTACAGTCCCTAGCACAAACTCAGGCACACGGGAGGCATTCAGTTAGTTTGTGTCTTTAAGACATTTACCGTTTTACTCAAATATTACCAAGCTCATCTTGAAAATTCCAACTAAATATTAAAAATGAGCTGGAAAGGAGAAGCCGATTTGCTCCAGCAGATGCACAGCCAGTTCTTCTTAAGCCTGTGCCTGAGAAAGTCTTCCTGATATTCAGAAACTGGTTAAAATCCTCCCCAGGTAAGCATTCTGAGAAAATAACATCGGAATGTTTTGTGTGTTGGTTGATGGCATATAGCTATATCCTAACAGATGTAGGAAGGGCAGCTCTGACCACATCTCAGAATACAACACATTCTGTGGATGAGTCTCTCAAATAATTAAAAGCTTATATGACAACATCCAGCATTAGTTTTTGGCCACAAATCAATACACTGATGAAATCGCTAACTTTGGTTTCATCGAAAATAGAACCAGTCTTCCCATCCATTCTAATGTACAGCCCCATGGAGTAATGGAGAACAGATCGGACACAAGGCCTTCCAGTACTTGGGCTTGCCAAAGGGGCCCTGGACCAGAGGCATGTTCTCCTGGAGGCCAGGAGCCGCATGGTCCAACAGCCTGGGGAAAGGAGGCACTTCCCTTCCAACTGGAGAGACTGGGCTAATGAAGTGAACCCAATTATAAAATGGCTCGTTATGTTAACAGAGGTCGTGGTGTCTGGAAATTATTGCTGGGGTGTCTGGAATTCTTAATAAAAATTACAGGAAGTCTGATTGCTTGTGGGAAAATCTATGAAGCTAAGGGAGAAAGAAAGAATTCTATCTTCTGGGAAAACCCCAAGAGCCAAGAGCTGACTCATCTTTACAAGGTGTTAATCAGGAGGGCAAGGTGCGACCTGAACTCTGCTCCCTGGAGCTCTCCTCTCCTGGATGAGAGAGGCCCATTTGGCCATGGCTGTCCCTGGCTGACACACACCCCTTTCACAAGGCTGTGTATGGGAACCAGAGGGAAGGGTGCCCTAGGTTAACTTACGCCACATCTACATCTCTGGTTCCCAGCTTGACCCTTGGAAAAGCACAAAACACACATGCCTGCATTTCAAGCACTGCTGGTTAATTTTCTATAGCTGATCTTCTTCCTCTATTCCCATGCTTTGTTTCCTTCATCTGTTACTAGCAGAATGATGTTGAGAAAGTTATTTCAAGCAACCTTAAGTAAAAATGAGGTCAAAGGGTCCCCACTTCATGGGAATGTAGTAAGAATTCAATAGGAATAATGCATATAAGGTACTTTGGATGACACCAACCACATAGTAAGAAGTTCAATAAATGTTTCAGTGTATTTTAGTTAGTATTATT